CGGGGTCGCCTTCTTCAGAGCCTGAAAGGATCGAAGCAATTTATGACTACCCGACCAAACGCCTCCGCTATCCTACTGAAATTCGAGAACAAAATTTTTTCACTTTCATAGAATGATTACTTGATCAACTGATTGCTTATCAATTTATGCAAGCTTTAATTTAGTTCTCCATCTATTCCACTTTCCCTTCCTTGGCCCTTTTTCCTTTCTTTCATTCGCTCACTTTCTCTTCTTTTTCCGCCTATTCACCCGTTTGTGCCCTCGCACAAATGACTGGTTTTGATATGGCTTTCTTCTGTACTGCGATTCTTTAGCTGGACACTTCCCATGGGTCATTGAAATGAGTACACAGCCCAACAAAATAGAGAGAGATCAGCAATCTTATGGTTAGCTAGACTAGGCTTTGCCACACATCCCACTTAACTTAAAGGCGGTTTTTTTACGGTGAAAAGGAAGGCCATCAGAAAACAAGGTAAAGGTGGACAGTGATGCAGGGATGAGAAAAACCATGAGAAACGGCTTAGAGCCTGAGAAAGGAAACTTCTTCTTCGCCTGTTAATTTCCGTCTTAATAGCTTGGCCTCTTCGACGCTACTTCCTCTCCCTCTCCTAAACAGCTTGGGCCAGACGGCGATAAAGTGGGCGTGCCGCGGCGTGAGTGGAGCGAGTGTGGCCCTACTAGGCAGGGTCGGTCCTATCGTTGGGACTTTTTGCAAAATTTTTACGACCCCCCTCCTTCACGAGAAGTTTCATACGACCCCTTCTTCACAACTCTTTTTCCCTCGAAAAACACCGTCGAGCGGGGAGCGGGGGGGGGGGATGTAATTTCGTGCTACCGAAACAAGTACGACCCCCCACCACAAACTTCAACAAACTACGACCCCCCCCCCCGTTGGTACTTGTCCCAACGTAGGGTTGACCCTGCTCCTAGGCCGCCGAGGACACTCATGCACTGCGAAACCTTATAACTCGCCCCTTCCACGCAATGTATACTATACCACTTCCTACAACTCCAATACTTATAGTGACTTCATTCATTATGGTAGAAAGGTGCTAAAGCCTGAACACGTTCACGGGGTTCAACCTATGCGTCCAAGGTCCTGAGCAGAAATCCGTTGCACCATGCTTACAGCCGTGCGTAGCCACGCTGTCTCGTCTTCTATTCCTTTTCTTTCTTCGGCGCTCAGTATCTCTTATCTCGCTGATTGCCTTTTAGACTTCTCCATAGTTCAGAAAAAGAAGAAGAAAAGAAAAACCACGGTTCTTTCTGATGGTTTTTTTCAACATCGCAACACTCTTTACCTTCATCTTCATCAGTCATGAACAAGAAAGAAAATAAGAGGAGCGCCTATAAGGTAGTCTCTTAGTTCCTCTGGTTACCATTGAATCGCGCGTCCTGCACTGCTCAATCCAGTAAGTATCTTCATACGCGTTCCTGCACTCTGTCCAACTACGTAAGCGCCCATCATAAGCCTCTTTGTCGGCCTGATAATCCATTATATTGTAACAATCGCGAACGCACACCCTTTATATTTACTTTGTTTCTGCGACAACGTTGTGCCGCTATACTTTCACGGAAATGGATCAGCCGAGATAGTTCGAAACAGAAAAGTAGAAAAGCGTACTGGTCTAAGTTGCACCTGTGCAGCTTCTTCGTCTCTTCTGGATACTCGTATTCGGCGTAGTTCGCCGTTCGCCTTGCTCAAAATAGTCCGGTATGGTGGTGAAATCGGATTGTCGCCCATATCAGTTGATGCTCTCCATCGCCATAACTCGTTGATACAATACTCTAAGTGAAGATTCTTCTATTATGTATACGCACCCTCTATAGGAGGGGCTGTGCTGGCACAAGCAGGTGGCTGAAACACTGCCTGTCAGAGGTGAATAAATCGAAAGTCTACGCGAACCATTACCGTAACACCGTGACACATTCCAGCTTTCTTCATGCACATCTGTATTTGGCAGAAGAACCATACACCTGGTTTATCGGCGAATTTGAAAACCTTGAAATAAAACTTTGAAAATGAAACATAATAGAGAAACAAAAAAGCAAAAATCGGAATAAAACTTGTAAAATGAAAAAACAAAGAAGAGCCAGACAAGGAGAGTGCTCACGGCTATAAGGTTCTATCTGCGTTTCTATACCGGCTCTAACAAAAGGCCTAGGTTGCCATGAAGCTGCATGAAAGCTTTTCAACCTTTCACAGTATTTTCGCGTTAAATTACTTTGTTGGTCCTGCTTTACATCCAATACTGCTCGATTGACGGCACGACTTCGAAAAATTTATTATTTGCTTTACGGCCTTTCCTTAACTGCAAATCCGAAGATATTAGGGCACAAGGCGGCTCGGGGAGAGCCAGCCGTCGCTGCGAAGGGCTGCATGTTTGCGTAGCTCAGCGTGGAGCAGGAAATCCGTGAGCCAGGGGAGTGTAGCAGTCTAGGGGTGGGGGTGAGGGCAGTCACTTGACATGCGTGAAAAGCTGGAATGTTCGAGTTTACACTATTTCGCTGAGAGGGTGTTCACATGCGCGCCCGGTGTGGCTCCTGCGAGCCAAATTGCGCTGCTATTAGGAACAACTCAAAAATTTCATGGGAAAGGGGATAGAAGGAAATATGAAAAAAGAGTTGGTAGTCTCAGGGAACCATTCATTCAGCGCACCCCCAGGCTGAAGCGTGTATGAATGCCATTCCGACGCCGCGCGCGATGTCGCTTTCTGCCGCACCGCCGCGACGTGACTTGTTGCCTGACACCTTCTTTGTATATTAAGGACTTACCGAGGACTCAGCATATGCTCGCTGAAGATCTGAGGAGTACCGTATTCCAGTGATGAGGATTGGATCCACTGGGCATCTGAATAATGACGTCATAACTTTCAACAATTCATGATTTAATGGGAATTTAATATGTATTGATCTCACGAACCCTTTATCATCGATTACATCGGCTTTCTTTCCAAAACCATCAGTAACATAACAATTATTGATCAGCACACCAAACATCTCTGGAAAATCAATATATCGATCGGCTTGAATATTTGTTCGAGTGTAACATGAACTAACTATCATTGCAATGCCACT